GTTTCCTCTTTCGCGATTGCGAGGAGAGGGTCGCGGTCGCTAAGAGTTATTTCTGGCGGGTGGACTTTTGTTCATCACGTTCGCAAGGAGATGGACGCGATTACGAAGCTCTGGGTGTTTGTTCAACGTGGACGCAAGTGAGGAGACGCGTTCGCGAAGAAGGAAGGGGAGGCCTAAGGAATTTCACGTGGTTGTTCATCGGGATCGCGTGTGGTGATTCGCGATCACTTAGGTGTTGGTAACTGGGCATCGTGTTCACGACTTGGTTATCGCGTTCGCGAAGAAGGGTTTTTCTACTGGAGATTTTTGTTCTTCGCGATCATGAGGGTCTTTCCGAGATCGCGAAGGGTAATAACTGGGCAGAATGTTTCAAATCCCATTTCGAGGGTTAGAGTTATTATATTATATTTTGATTTATAGAGCTCGGTTTTGGACAATTTTGGAGGGAATTTTCACGTCTTGCATAGGGATTCGGATCGTCCGAAGGTCGATACACGTGGGAAAGGCTTGTTAGAGGAGTGATTTGGCTTGCTTGAGGTAAGTATCTTATCTAAACTTGGTTAATGCACTAGTTGCCTGAATTATTTGCGATAGCTACATGTTATGAGTGCACACATGTGTGGAGTTTGAGCCCATGTGCTAACATCGGGTATTTATTTATGCTCGAGTAGTGCTTAGGCTATAATATGCCTAGAGTTGACCATTAAGGTTTAAGCTATAATGTTTCTCATATTTGGAACCTCGTGGTGAACTATTTGAGCCATGTTTGGGGCTACATAGAGGCTAAATCTCTTAATGAACTTGATACATACTATTTCTGTGATGAAATTATCGATTTGAGCTATGATAGCATACTTTTCACATGCCTACACTTTAGCATGTCATTTATACAATTACATGAGCATGAGATCTCTTATTCATTTATCATATATATGTATTCTTGTTTATTTGCTCCTGTGTGATATGATTGGACTGGATGCATGTGACCACGTCAGGTGGATTGTGTTGTTATGCATGTGACAATGTCGGACAAATTATATTGTTATGCATGTGACCACGCTATGCGGATTGTGTTGTTATGCATGTGACCCTGCCGGGTATATTGTGATATAGTGTGTGACCACGCCGGTCGGATTATGATATTGAGCCTATGACCACGTTGGGCTGGTAGCACGTTGAATTGGCCATGCTTGCGTGTGTATATGGATCCATCCCCCAATGGTCACCCTCTCACGTTTCTCTCTTGATGGTGTACACACGGATATTGAGAAAAATTGATCAGTGATTTGGTACGGATATTGAAAGGTTGAGGAAAGTCTGGTCAGTGTTTTGTCCGAATTTCTGTTTCATCTTTACTTGTAATTTCCATGGTTAATTGCATGATTTACTTATTTATCATCTTTATATGTTGTACATTTGTTGAACAGAGAAATTGGGTAATTGCACACGCGCACACATGGGGTTCTTTATATGCTTTATGACGTGATTACATTATTGTTCATTACTTGTTAAATTGATGAAACTATAGAGTTTATAGTAGGTATCATTTATAATTCTTTCTTCTTTTACCTCGCTGAGGTTAGTGACGATATTTATTGAGTACATTGGATTGGTTGTGTTCATACTACACTCTGCATTTAATTATGCAAATCTAGGAGTTAGTAACAATTATTAGTAGCAGCGTTGCTTGTTGAGCTGAGTATCGAAAAACGAGGTAGAGCTGCATTTTTCGTTCACAGTCTCGGCTTGTCTTTTCTTACGCACTGTTGTTTTTAGTTCAGACAGTATTGTTATATAGTTTTCATACTTGAATTTCGTTGTAGAGTTCATGACTCCGTGTTTACCGATTTCTGGGGGATTTATCATGTATTTGTGGTATTTTGTTACATTAAGATTTAAGACTTATGCTATTTCTATATATTTCCTTTATTTTGGTTCTTTATTGTTATGTTCGGTTTGCCTAGTAAGTGTGTTAGGCGCTATCAAGACGGGTTGAAATTTTGAATGGTGAAAAGTGTACTCAAAATTTTAACTTTGCTATAAAATATTGAAAAAAATCTAGGATTTCATCTAGAAACTCGTATCCCGACAAATTTACAAGAGGAAAAAACTAAAGTAGAATAAGAGGAAAAGGAAAAAGCAGGGTTTCAAAATTTTTTAACCTCAAGGACATAACAACCTGCAGGTGCTGACTCGAGAGAAATATATTTTGATTTACTGATATATTGAGAAGAGAAAAGCTTAACAGTGAGTAACATCAACATCTCCTATCTTCATTCTTACCCTCCAAAGAGTTTGATATAGATGGATCTATCAAAAAGAAAAGCCTTTATGCATGAAGTGACGGAAGGTAAATATGTCATTTAAGTAATCCATATACTCTCTCCGTTCCAATTTATGTGAATCTATTTGATTGAGCACGAAGTTTAAGAAAAAATGAAGACTTTTGAAATTTGTGGTCCTAAACAATTCAAAAAGGGGGCCAGAGTATTTGTGTGGTTATAAAAGTTTCTCATTAAAGATAGAATTGTAAGTTTAAGCAAAATTGTTTCCAAATTTAGAAAATGGTCGTTCTTTTTTGAACGGACCAAAAAGAAAATAAGTTCACATAAACTAGAACGGAAGTAGTAGTACTAATACATACACTTATTAGTCATTGTATCTTCCGTCCCCCATAAAATAATACACAAATTAACTCATAACTCATACATATTTTATTTATGTAGAATTGAAAATGCCAACCAAACATTGTACACTGTGATTAACTTCTTATACTGGTTTTTATACAGAGTAAGTAAAAGCTACCAAATATGATATGAGTTATGGTACTCCTAATACATAAATAATTTACTCCTAACCAGTTACCAAACGACCCCTAAATAGAGGCGGATCCATGATTTTATGATTACGGGTGCCACTATTTTAATGTAAAACGACCACTAGTGAAGAAGATTGAATTAGGGTGTACATTTAATCGATTCGATCCGTTTTGAATTACTTCGGTTCGGTTCGATCCATTTTGAATTTATTCAATCCAATTTTAATTTTTTTATGCATAAACGAATATGCGATATACCCCTTCCATCTACATGTAGCTGATTAATATTATATTATGTCTTTGATGCATCACTATTAAAAAAAATTATAATTAATAAAATAATATTATATGGATAAAAAAAAAATGATTAGATTACATCCATCCAAATAAAATATGAACTTTCAGAAAAGTGAATATTTAAGATGAAGAAAATAAGAAAAATAAACAAAAACAACAGAAAGGGAAAAACGATTGCATCCAAAGAGTCGCGATCCTAGGTGTTGTGCATGGAATTTCAGCACTTTAATCATGGCACCTTTTGTCATTTTGTGACTTGGGGTGCCACTTGTTCCTTATGTAGGCATTTTTGTGAAAAATACTAATATATATATATATAAAACTTTATCCGAGCGACCGGGTGGTGTACCACCCCCAACTCAATACATAGATCCGCCCCTGCCCCTAAATCATCATATTCTTTTAAGATTTATATCATATGGTCTAGAAAACTGCAAAAAGATTAAGGGAAATATTGAGGGTTTTTGGATGGACTTATAAGGTGGTCAAACCAACTTTTAAGATATTTTTGCCTTATTTTGGTGTTTGGCTAACTTGTAAAGTGATAAAGCAAAAAATTAGGTTGTCCAACTTATTACTTTTTAGCTTAAAAACTATCCATGTTTGACCAAGTATTTTACTACTCTATCCCTTATAACCTTTTATAATTTCAAAAATAACCTACAAAACAAGCCTAATTCAAATACTCCTATTTCTTTTCCTTTCTTTCTTTCCTCCACCTCTCCTCCATTTCTACATTCTCCCAGCTGTTATTTCGCCAATTTTGAGCTTTGTTAAGTTGGAAACAACTTTTTTTTTTCCGTTGGATTTTGCTATTTTTTTTAAAATTTTATTCCTAAACCTTTAATAATTTATTAGATTTTCCTTTCTATTAACAGTTGTTAAAGTACCATATGAATTTAAACTAACTAATTTTTATTAGTTTTTTCTTCTTTCCTGCCAAAGGACAAATGCCGGTTTTATTGCACAATATTCATCATTTAACATGTGAAAAATTAGACTAATGAAGTATAAACTACCAAATGCCATAAAAAAGTGTCTCGACTTCTAGACCCAGATGAACGAGAGCACCAATAATTCATCTCCTTGCGGTTGTTATTGATCGCATAAGCAGATAGAGCAAAATGCATAGACCATAAATTTGATAATCGATGAAACTTCTGAACTTGCAAAAAAAATTCCAATCAATTTTAAAGCCCAGTTAACATATATTTCCTTGGTTTATTTTTTCCTTGCAGTAATTTGTTCATTTTTAGAGTTAACATCTTTAAAGATATTTTAGTCATTTAAACATAAAATAATACTTATCAATACTTTTTTACCAAATACATCAACTATTTAATTTCATTTTCAACACTCATAGCCAAACACGTAATTACTTCTTTTTAAATTAAGCTTATCACTTCAAAAGTTTTTTTAAGCCCAAAAAATAGTACAAGAAATGGCCGTTGCCCGACAGTCATTTTTTATCTTGACCGTTGGCACAAAAAAAAATCCCAACGAATACCGTGCTGGACCGCATTGGAATCCGGTAAAAACCCGTGAACGTGTTACCGGACTAGCCCGGTTCTGGTGCACTGGTAGCCAAAAATGGCCCGACCTCATCCAGCACAACCCCTACCCTAAGTCAACCCATCCCTTCCCTTATCGGGCCGGACTGACCTGGCTAAACCGGATCGAATACGTCGTTAATGAGCTGTCCCGACCCGTTTAACACCCGTTACTATAAACACATCAAGGGGAATGAGTTGTAAAAGCAAAAAAAAAAAAAAAAAAAAAAAAAAAAAAAAAAAAAAAAAAAAAAAAGAAAACTTGAAGAAGAAGAAACCATTTTTTCGGAAAATAAAACGAAAAAGATAAAAAGAAGAGGAAATCAAAGGGAAAGCAAAACCCCATATAACGCCCACCCTGCCATAGGTTTGGAGGCGCAAATGGGGCTGAAATGAGATGTTGAGGACTGTGTGGAGACCCAATAACGCTGCTCCAATGAAGTCTGTCACTGCTATTTCTTCCTCCATTCCTTCTCTTAACAAAGCTTTCCGAACTCTCTTCACTCTCTCCTCCGCCACAACAAATCCTACTGCTCTCCACGTTCTCCCAGGCCTAACCCTACAGAACTCTCCGCTATGCCGTCGGCCGATTACTCTCACTTTCTCAGTCATTCTCCGTCGCCAATCGCATTCTGTTGTGAACCACGGCTTCATTTCCTCTCGTAAGAAGCCTAACTTCGCCGTCGTCAAATGCATCTCTTCTATATCCTCATCGGCGCACACTGTGGACTGGAACGACGCCGTTTCGTGCTCGGAGATTGGGCTGAGTGAAGCTGAAGAATTGGCTTTGGAGCAGGAAGAGGATGATGATGCTAGTGCTACTGCTATTAAGCCATATGTCCCCGTTAGGGCTTTCTTTTTCTCTACTAGGTTCGTTCGTCTTTCTATTTTTCCCCCTCTTTTGTACAATATATGAAACGTTAATTGAATGGTTTTGTGATTGTTTGGCAGTGTGGATTTGAGGAGCTTAGTGGAAAAGAACAAGCAGAATTTTATTCCACCGACTTCTCGAATGACCAATTATGTTGTTTTAAGATTTGGGGACACCAAGAAGGCACCTAGTGTGAGTGTCTCTTTTTGTGTATCTTCTGCCTTTGTGTTTGAATAGTTTTGTTTACAGTTGATAGTACATGGAGTTTTATATGTACTGTACTTATGTTTAAGCGCCATAAATTGCTCTGATAGTTGGACACCTACACGAATAACATTTCATATCATGAGGGTCAAATTGTCTAAAATTTCATTTTGGTGTTTTGGACCTTGTTTGGTTGATTTTATGAAAATAAAATGTGTTAGAAGTATAATGCAAGAGAAGGTTCAGAGAATGGGTGAAGAAGAATGTCTTGAGCTTCCTGGTGTTTATATTGCATTTCTCGATGTGGGATGCGTGTATACACCTTGTTATGTAATTCTAATCTATGTAGACCATCTACCTAACATTACCCTTCAAGTTTGGTGCATCGAAAATGTGTGCATCATGTTTGTTACATATAAAACTAGTTCGTGGTAGAGAGATTTTCTGAATGATGCTGCAAGCTGATTATTTGAAATTGCAAACTTTATGACTACGCCGGCTGAGATTATCTTTTACCCAATAAAGCCACTGTCAATTGTTTGATTAATTCTCTTATAAAACATTGGTTTTGATACAAACTGAAGTGCCTTATAATATTACATGCAATTGGGTAGTTCCTTCTGCCCTGCACGAAAATGTGCAAACACTTATGTTTCTTGCTTTTCCAAGACACGAAATTCTCTCCAACTAAGATAGAGTATCCAGGAGTACATCTTTGTCAGAGAGTTATCCTTCTCAATCTTCATTTATGTACTTAACACTCTTCTCCTGTCCTCGGCCATTGTAGAGTAATCCCTTTGTTGGAGCACATTTATATATCGAAGGTTACTAATCACTACATCTGGATGAGTATCACAAGGAGAATCTAGAATTAACTCACAGTGCTCAGAAGATAATATCAGGTTGAGTCACGGGGAGGTAGTTAGCTCATCAACCAATCTCTTTTATTCGTCCAGGATAAGGTGGCGTTTGTTTCAATTGGTTGAATTTTTTTTCCGGAAACCTTTCCACTTTGGAAAGAGCAAAAACTTTTTGAATATTTTTCAACCAAACATCACTAGTTTTTTAGTTTTTGCAAGAAAGTGATAAATTACTGTAGAGGTGTTTGCTGCGTAGATTGCCTAGAAAGTTGCCGATAGATTCCTTTCACGTGTTATCTCTAAATCTTAGGCACTTGATAAATGATATTGTAATGCATGATGCTATATGCTTTTATTGAATAGAATAGTTGCTGATAGATTGCATCATCCTTTCACTATTATCTCTAAATCTTCGGCTCTTGATTTGTGAATTTTGTTATGCATGAAGCTATAGATTTTTATGGAGTGGAACATGTATGGATCTGTAATGTTTAGCACTATTAAACACTGACAATGTTAAAGCATCAGCAAGACAAAAGATAGAAATTACTCCTCTGTTCTTCTGGTGCTAGACTGGGTGCTATTGTAGCCGAGAGTGTTATGTCCTCTATCATGGGCGAGTACAAATGAGATACGCACAAGAGTTATAGGAGCATCTTCAATGTTTTCAGCTTCAAATATATGTTTTCCTTAAAGAGGCATGGATTGGGTAATTTGTTCTTCAAGTGTTTAAAATTTGAATGTTAAAGATTGTCATGGTTACAGTGAAGCACGTATATGCGTAGTTGCTTTATTTCCATTGCATGTATGATGTGAATGATTTCCTTCGGTTTGTAAGTGAGGTCATTTTGTTAATGCATTCTTGCAATCTGACATCTGCATTGGTTCATACAGCATTTTGTTTGTGGTTAGGTTCTGACAGAGATATCATCTATTGCCTCTCCAGATTGATGATCTAATTTTATCAGAAATAGGAATAGTCCTGATGCTGCCAGCCAATCGACTTTTTCTATCTGTTTTCATCGGGTAGAAAATACACAATATACAATTCCACCTAATGACCCCTGTTGAACTTGAATTCTCTTTGATTCACCACCTCTGCCTCATTTGAAATTTTGTATACTAAGACTCTTTGTCATTTGTTAGAGGAGTTGCATCTCGGTGTAGGGATGGATGTGAGATTTTAGATAGTTTTAGAGAACTCCTCATTTGCCTTTAAGAGACTAATCTTTTAGTATTGCAATGGAATGGATCCAGTTACTACAACAGAATGGATATAGCAGATCTATATAGACACCCAACTAGTTTGCAACGAAGGTGTAGTTGATTGGTTGCTGTGGTTCTGTTCAAAGGCATTGGTTAAAAGTTTTTTGGTCTGAGTTTCTCGTTTCCTTTTCCGTATTATACTCTTTTTCCATGCTTGATCCTGTATGCAGGTTTTTTTGAGGTTTCCTGTTTTTGATTTTGTTAGGAAGTTTTCCGATTGAGGTGTAATAATTGTTGCTCCTTGATTAATAAGCATTTAAGAAATTTCAACGTTACTTGGTGTTATGGCATTTTCCCTAATATAATTCTTATGTGTTATGTTTTCAGGCTTTAGGTGCTAACTTAAGTGGCAGTGACTGCTGTTACATGGTAGTTTTCCAGTATGGCTCGATTGTCTTGTTTAATGTCTCTGATCACGAGGTTGATGGGTACCTGAAGATTGTCGAGAGACACGCTTCGGGGTTATTACCGGAGATGAGAAAGGATGGTGAGTTTATGTTAAAATAATTAAAGTTACAAGATGCTTTGTAAATTTACTTATTACCTTATAAAAAGAAAGGAAGAATAGAAAATGCTCTATTAATTTATTATATAGTCTGATCATATTTCTTAATTAGTTTTTTGATTACCAAGTGTATTATTCCTATTTTGTCTTTTTGTATTTTGGACAACATGACTAACTAAAACTATATATTTGTGATTTGTGAGGTAGTAAAGAATATATTTATAAAATGCCTATCGAAAGGCACTTGTGATGTCATTATGTTGTTAGGGATTTGGATTTGAGTTGGTTTTGCCTAAAAAAAAAGAAAGGAACAGAAGGAGCCTGGATCTAACTTCTGCTCTCCTCTCTAAGGTTTCACTGAAGAGATTTTTCTGGTAGAATAAAGGAAAAAAAAAAAGAGAACAAAGATAAAAGCATTTTAACTTTCCCCAGGTAGGGGCGGAGGTGTGTGGGAATTGAACAGTTATATTATTAGTGATTTTATTATCAATTGCAAACCTCAGTTTTTCTCTTCTAACATGCTTTTTCAGGCCCATTTTTAATAGAACACACAAAATTAAAGAGTTTCTTGGAATTCTCTCTAACTTCCTAAAACTAACTTTCCCATTAATTGATGACCTTAATCGGAAGTGGCAGAAATAGAATGAGTTTTCAGGGTTGTTAGGAGTGCATCTTAATGTCTTCTTTTATATTAACGAAGGTCTAGAATTAAGGTTGTGGGTTGACAGATAGTCGAGAGTTTCTCTATTAGCACTTGTCCTGGATCTTGGTTATTACATGTTTTGCCATTTGCTTCTGCTGCCTTTTACCTTTTTGTTGCTATTAATTGGTTATTGCTTCCTTTCACTGTTCTTGAGCCGAGGGTCTTTCAAAAACAACTTCTCCACCTTCATAAGGTAGAGGTAAGGTCTGCGTACACATTATCCTCCCAAGATCCCACTTGTGGGATTTCACTGGGTTTTTTGTTGTTGTATACTAACGGACCGAAGTGAGTTTCGTACTGAAGTTGGACGTTAGTTTTTGGTCTAGCAATGTTTGGCTGCGTGAAGTAATGTCTTGTTATTAAGTCCATTGGACAATTTTTGGTGATCTGTGGCATATGTAAATGATCATTCCTTTGCTTGTGCTTTGAGCTTCTGTTCACAGTCTGTAGAATTGTGTTTTCATTTTTGGAATATTCAAGTCATCTCATTCGTGCTTCTGTACTAACTTTGAGTGAGATTTACATTCTGTCATCTTTTATAATAATAAAAGCTTTTTGTACTCTCACTGATGTCTATATTGTGGAATATTAGAATATGAGGTGAGAGAGAAGCCAACTTTGACCACGTGGATGCAAGGTGGATTAGACTACATAATGTTGCAGTATATGAATATTGACGGTATCCGAACCATTGGCAGTGTTCTTGGTCAAAGTATTGCTCTTGATTACTATGTCCGCCAAGTAGGTGTCTACAAACTTATATGTGATCAGCCTGAGAAGGTTCTTATTTGTAGTAACTTTCTGACTGGTATTCTCTGCCATTCCAGGTTGACGGAATGGTTGCTGAGTTTACAGACATCAATCGTGGAATGGAAAAGACTGGAACTTTCACTATGGAGAGGAAAAAGCTTTTCCAACTGGTTGGCAAGGCAAATTCTAATCTTGCTGATGTTATTCTTAAGCTAGGACTTTTTGAAAGGTATTCTTGCATCTATTTAGTTATGTTACGAGTTTCTCTATTTCTTTTCTTTTTCTGTTTCCCTATTATATCAATATTGTGATTTGGAAGAGTATGTTATGTAAAATAAGCTTTTCTATCTTGGAACTAGGAAACTTTTGCGAAGTGAAAGTGGCCTAAAAGTCTGCCTTTTTATTTATTTATTAGTATTTCAATTCAAGAACTGGGGGTCCTTGTTAGTTATGAGAAACAGAAGTTAACTGTTGCACTCCAATTAATGTCATGCATGGTTTGGAGAATGTTTTAATTTCATCATCTTTCCAGGTCTGCTCTTCCTAATCTTTCTACTTTTGTAGTAGAAATCCTTTTGAATCTGGTTATATCATGAATTTCACCGGGAATTTCAAGGATATTGATTTAGGTGGAGAATTTGACCATTCTTACAACAACACCCCTCGTTCCCAATTCTAGTTGGAGTTTGATTGCTGCAGAGAAGCTAATTATATTAAGTACAGACATTAAACACACTATCTATATATACCGGTAAACATGCCTAATCATAGTAATTCATGTTAGAACACGCCTTGCTTCCAAGGGTGCGACCTAGTGGTCAATGAAGTGGGGGCGAACCTCGGAGACTAGGATTGAAATCCAAGTAGAGACAAAAAAAAAACTTGAGTGATTTATTCTCATCTGCCTGAGCAGAGTTTCCCGGGTACCTGTGTTGGTGGGATGTAGTAGATATTTGGTAGAATTTTCGAGGTGCGTGTAAGTTGGCCTGAACGACATTGTTACAGAAAAAGGAAAAACATGTCTTTCTTGGAATTAGAATAACTTCTGTTTTGACGTACTGTGTTTAAGGCAACATTGCTTTTACATGGACTAGCTTTTTTAGTAGATAATGCTTTCTTTGCTCTGTGTTTGGTAATATCAGATTAAATTTTCTTCTGTTTTCAGATCGGATATCGCATGGAAGGATGCGAAATATGCTCAAATTTGGGAATATCTTAGAGATGAATTTGAGTTGACTCAAAGATTCGCGAGCCTTGATTTTAAGTTGAAGTTTGTGGAGGTATAGTATTTGATATCTCAATCATCAAGTACGCTTCAATCTCAGCTCTAAATTCATTCCTTGCTTATACATAGATTTGCGTTATGTTAAAACGGAATTCACTAAATCTTACTTCCTGCATTGACGTAGTATTCCATGTTTGCAGAGCAGCC